AAAAAAAAAAAAACAATTTAATTGATTCATTAACTAAAGAAAAAGATAAAGGGACATAGTATTCCTTTTTTATTTTTCTACGTGTTGATTTCAAGATTTGCGACTTTAAACAAGATAGTTGTCTGATTTAGATATGCGGGCCTAATAATTCCTGATTATTATTAGTCAAAAGGCATTGAGTTTTTTTATTTTATTTTTTATGAAAGCCAGTAAGAAAAAAAAAAAAAAATTTAAAATGCAAGTTGTGGTTGATGACAGGAGGAGGGCCGGATACTGGAAAAACTGTTGCAATAATATTAGGAGGAGCAGCAGGAATTGGTTTTTTTGTCATCTGCTTGCTTTTTGCCAGAGGATTAATCAAGAAAAAAGATGGTAAACCTATTTTTTTTTTACCATTATTTGCTCTTTGGACTAGTTTCTAAATTAAGCACCCAGTCATACAACTGCACAGAATAATATAAAGGCAAATTTGCCCCAAATATCACGACCTTTATCGAAGTTGCAATTTTATCATTATCTTTTCACTTTTGCAAATTATATCACAATTTTTAGTTTGTTGTAAACAGTCTAAAAAGCAGCCATAAAAAAACTGATGTGGTCGAACAACTTTGTGATATAGTTTGCACGGTGTATGCAATTCGGTGCACCAATTTGCAACAAACATAAGATTATGATGTCTGATTTGCAAAAGTGAAAAAAATCGTGATTAGACTGCAATTTCGAAAACAGTCATGATGATATTAAGGGAAATTTTGCCTAATATAAATGCCTTCTGTTTAATATTCAGCTATGTATTTGTAAATTTTTTTAATTGCAGATTACTGAGAGCAGTCTAATCCTAAATCAAAGTTCAATCTTAAGTTGCCAATGCTACACAAACTAGAAAAATTTATAGCATTTGTAATGTCGGAAGAACTAACAAGAGATCGATCGGTCGAGCAATGTCAATTCGAATGAGAAAATCGTGTTTATTAGTAAGAGAAGGTTTGATAGGAAATGGTAGTATTCTTTTGTTGCCAATGCCAGAATGAGATCACAAGAGTGTAATAATGTAAACCAATTCCTGGCCTTGTTGTCCCCATTTGTACATTGCCATGTGATTTCTTTTTGTCACTTTTTTCAACTCTTGTCTGGAATATTTTTGTTTTCCTTCAAGATTTTTGTGTTTTCGAGGATTAAAGTCTCTTCTTACTCTGCGTGCACGTCTGTTTGGTTATGTATTGTTTGTATTTTCAAGTGACGATTAATCCACTGAAACTGAATCGATGAAAGGATCAAAGCCACTGTGTCAGTAGTCGATTTTTTTTTTAATCTTTATACCTTCTCCAACCCAAAAATACAAACTCAAACTCATTTTGCAGTAACTGTCACATCTATATATATAAAGAGTGAGTTGATGGAATTTATTGCTAAATATAGATGATATGCAATGACTATATTTGGCAATATTTCTACATTTGGTTGGGTAATTAATTGTAAGGTTAATTATTTTTGTTAAGAGTGCCAAATAATAATGGGAAATGCATTAACATACTAAATTCATATTCAATTATTTTTGGTTAATTTTAAGAATGGAAAATAACAATGGCAACTTACTTAAATTATTCCGTTTGGAAATTTAAAAAGAATTAATATTCTTGTACTCGATATTTAAAAATATATAACATCAACTATGCTCAACCATATTCTAATATACCTTAAATATATTTAATATCTTGAACTCTACATATCATTACTATGTTTTAAAGGCAGTAGTATTAGTTTACATAACCATACGTATTAGTTCATTTTAACATTAGGCATAGATCCAAAAAACATGTTAAAAAAATATTTATTATGAATAACCTATTTAAATTAAGTTATTAGATGAATATATGATGATGGTGAATGCTGGCAAAATTTTAAAAATGATACATCACGTTAGGCGTTGACAACAAAAGAGACATTTTGTCGTCCCTCACGGAAAAGAAACATGTAGTTGATGATTTGGTCAAAAAAGATACATTAATCACCATACCTGATAAAAAAGCTGACGTGGTCGGATTAGGTAGTGATGTGGCATTATAACTTTCCTTAATTTCCTACGTGTTATATACATGACGTGATGTGGCATCATTATCTCCAAATACACAACTGCACATAGATAAAAAAATATAAAAATAAAATAAAAAATCCAAAAATAAATAAATATAAAGACACATCAGCAAAATGAATAAAAAATAAAATAGAAATAATAAAAATAATAATAAAAATAGGAAAATAAAAAGATAAAAAATCCAAAAATAAAAAAATATAACAAATATATTTTGTTAACTATATATTAATAAAATATTTAAAAAAATTATATATCTTTAATATATATTAAAAAATAGTAAAAAATAAAAAAAAAATATTTTGTTAATATTTCGTTAAATATAGATATAGTTCGCTAATATATATTAAAAATGTTTGTTAATAATAAGAATTATATATAATTTATTATATTATCTAATATAATAATTTACGTAAAAATTTATTTACTTAATATATATATATAAATATATTAAATATAAATATAAATCACAAAATATAAATTTATATTAAACAATAATATTTTAATATATTTCAAAAAATATATTTTAAAAAATATTTTTATTTATTTAAATATAAATTTATATATGTGGTGTATATTTATATTTAATATATTTATTTATATTAAATAAATAAAATATTATGTAAAGTAATATATTAGATAATATGATAAATTATATATAATTATTCTTATTAACGATTTTTTTTTTAGTATTTTTTAATATATATTAGTGAAATATATTTATATTAAACGAATTATTTTTTATTTTTCAATATATATTAACAAAATATAAATTTTTTCAATATTTTATTAA